CGTTCTGTTTTTGGAGAGGGTAGTATTGGTTGATGAATGTCAGAATATCAAACAATGAGAACGCTGGTCATTGAAATGAAAACTATTTCCAGTGATGTCTTCGAACCTTTTCTACCGGGGCTGGGCTAATATTTTTAGGCTTAAGGTCTTTTTCTATTTCTTTCTCTATTTACTATATTTTTACTAGTGGCCTGGTGCACGAATTCGTGCACCAGTGTGATGCCTCAGCCTGGCCTGTGGGGATCAGCCGAAACTAGCTCTCTGACATCCCCTGAGGGGTCCCAGATTACCAGAGAGCTCATGCCAGGTCAAGGGACCCACCGGTGCACCATTAGGTGTGGGGAAGGACATGGGAGGTTGGCCAGCTAGGGAGGGGCCATGGGAGGGCTCCAGGGCATGTCCAGACCATCTCACTCTGTCCCGATCAGCCAGACCCCAGCAGCAAGCTGACCTATCAATCTGAATGTCTTGTCCCTGGTGGTCAATGCATGTCATAGTGAGCAGTTGAGAAAACTTAGTATATCATTTGCATATTATGCTTTGATTGGTTGAACAGATGACTGGTTGACTAGACGCTTAGCATATTAGGCTTTTACTATATAGAATTGATTTCATACAGGAAAAGAGCGAGAAACATCAATGATGAGAGAGAATCATACATCGTGTGCCTCCTGCACGCCCCTACTGGGGATAGAGCCCACAACCAGAGCATGTGCCCTTGACCAGAATCAAACCTGGGTCCTTCCAGAGTCCACAGTCCAACCCTCTATCCACTGAGCCAAACAAGCCTGGGCTCATTCGTTAATTATTGTCTCTTCCCTGACCAAGAATCGAACCGTGACCTCAGGGTTCATAGGTCGTCCCTCAACCACTGAGAAACACCAGCTTGGACCAAAATGATTTTATTGATTTGAGAGAGGGGGAGAGAGACAGAGAGACAAAGAGACAGAGAGAGAGAAAGGAGAAGAATAAGAACAAGAACAAGAAGAAAGAGAGAGAGAGAGAGAGAGAGAGAGAGAGAGAGAGAGAGAGAGAGACATCATGTGCCCTCGCACCCAGGGGTGGAAGATAGAACAACAGAGCTTAGTAAAAAGAGTAAAAAGGTGCACAGAACTATACACGTCCCACCAGTGGGCCAGCAGGACTGGGGCTCAGGTTGGCAAGAGCCAGGGACCCCATCACGTGTCCTAAGAGTCGTCCATCAGCTCAAGAATCATTTCCTCCATGTCATCCTCCTTGATATGGTGCACGATGCGCCAGAACCAGCCCCTGGAGTCCAAGTACAGGCTGGAGCTGCCAGGGTGGAGCGTCCACCTCGAAGGCATGGTGCTCGAGGTCAGCCGTCTTGTGTTGAGTACGAAAGACCCACTGTGGATGTCGTACTGCCACAACCGTACTTGCAGGACACCTCCTGTGTCCATGACGATATGCACCCACGTGCGCTGGTTCTCGTCCTCATACACCGAGGGCCCACGGATCCTCAGGCAGATGGGGTGTGAGGTGAGGTGCACCTTCAATGGGAGCTTGCCCATGACCCCTCCGTGGTACAAGGAGCAACAGCCAAAGTTCTCAGAGCCTCTTGCTACTTCGTTCCTGGTATCGAAAGACAGAGGATGGGTTCTCCAAACGCATTTAATCTCTCCTTTTATCTTTAAGGTTTCTATGGTTGTGTTTGTGGTTGCCTTTAGTTTATTTTGCAAATTTATAAATCTCAACTTTTCTTTCTATTTAGCTTTAGACTCTCCTCTCAAAAAACCTGTACAAAACATACTTCATGTAAAATATGACTCTATGAAGGTAACAGGGTCCTATGGAATTTTAAAAACATTTTTTACATGACCGTTAACATAGAACATTAGGTTCATTTCAGGGGTACACCGCAATGATTAGACATTATAAAATGGACTAAGAAATCATGCAATTAATCTCATACCCATCTGACACCATACACAGTTATAATATTACTAGAGGCTAAGTGCACAAAATCTATGCACTCTGGGGGGGTCCCTCAGCCAACCCTGAGCCTCTCCCAGTCCGGTACCCATTGAGGGATGTCCAACTGACGGCTTAGGCCCGCTTTAGTGCTGCCGTGGAGGCTCCCATATCCCTCTGTGCTCTGCAGCTGTGAGCCTGGCTTTTGGCTGAGCGGTGATCCCCCTGTGGGAGTGCTATCACCACCGATGGACAGCTTCTTCCATGAGCATCTGCCCCTGGTGGTCAGTGTGTGTCATAGCAACCAGCTGTTCTGCCATTTGATCAATTTGCATATTAGCCCTTTATTATATAGAATTGCATTGACTCAATGCTCTTCTTTAATGTTCCATGACTATTCTTTCGTTTCTTTCACATAGTTTTACTGATTTCAGAGAGGAAGGGAGAGGGAGAGAAAAAAAGTTCAGTAATGACAGAGAATCATGGATTGGTTCCCTCCTGCATGCCCCCTACAGGGGATCATGACTGTAACCTGGGCATGTGCCATGACTGGGAATCAAATCGACATATCCTGGTTCCTAGGTTCAAGTTAACAACTGAGCCATGCCAGCCTGGCTCTATTCTATTCTATTCTATTCTATTCTATTCTATTCTATTCTATTCTTTTCTCTTCTCTTCTTTTCTTTTCTTTATTTCTAAATTAAATCTTTGTAGTTTGTTCAACTTTTCATTTTGTCCTGACACCACCACCTTCTTACTGATCATCTCAGAGGGAACTCAAAACCATAGAACAACCCACCCCATGCAAATCATATGCAAATAATATGCTTTACCTTTCACAGCTGGTAGAGGAACAAAGCTAACGTCAGCATCGGGGTGGGCTTTTTAACAGCGGTCTTGCTACAAAGCTGCTGGTGAGAGAGGCAAGACCATAATATTCAGGAACAGACAGAGACCCGGGATAGCTGATTGAGAAAACAGGAAGCAAAGAGACAGGTGAAACAGAAAGTAGGATTCCTGAGGTCTCATCATGTCGCTTGTAGAATGATCTACCCTCTGCTGAAACCACTGTCACAGTCTTGGGAAGAGCTGTATGGTTTTGCTGCTAATCTCACTTCAGTCCACAAAGTCCAAATTCCTCCCTCAGATCAGACTCCATCCCCAAACCTTCCTCCTCCTCCTGCTCCTTCTCCTCCCATCTACGTTTTTCTTACCTGTTCTTCTTGCTCTAAAGGCAAAGCACCGTTCTTCGCTCCTTTCCTCTGTGACCCGTCTCTGCTTCCCCCTGTCACCTGCAGAAGAAAGAAGATGACCATGATACACCTGTTCCAGGGAGTCCATGTACCAGGAATGTGTCCAGAAAATCAAGTTTCCCCTGACTCACACCCCAGAATCCAGTCCTTTGAGATAGGTGGTGGTGAGGAAGGAAAGAGGTTTATTCAGGTGCTGGCACGCTGAGAAGATGGAGGATCGTCATCCCAAAACCCATCTGCAGATCTCAGTGCAGGCAGAGGCTTTTATAAGGAGGGAGAGGCCAAACGGAGAAAAGAGGTCAGCGGGCATGGCTTGAGAATTTTTCTACGTGCTGACAGGCACAGTCTAATCTGATTAGGATCTTGCAAGTGGTCAGGTGTTGGTCCAGTGTGCGTCATCCTAGCCTTTCTCCTCCTGGTTCTAATGTTGAAGGTCAACAAATCTCCCAGAACTGGGAAGGTCAGAATTCATAACTTCTAAAATTAGTTCCTAGGATTCTTATACAAAGATGCTGTTTACCTACAAGCTTCATTATTAGTCAGAGTCTGCATTTACAGGAAAAATGTGGTAAGGATGGTGAGGTGAGTTGTAATTGCCACTGTGACGAATGCTGAGATGCTTCGTTCTTCTTCAAGGCATTTGCACCCTTTTATAAAAGTCAAATTGGCCCTGGCCAGTTTGACTAAGTGGATAGAGTGTTGGCAGGCGAACTGAAGGGTACCAGGTTCGATTCCCGATCAAGGGCACATGCCCATGTTGTGGGCTTGATCCCCAGTGAGGGACTTTCAGGAGGCAGCCGATTCATGATTCTCTCATCATGGATGTTTCTAACTCTCTCCCTCTCCTTCCTCTCTGAGATCAATAAAAATATATTTGAAAAAAAAGGCCAACGCACTATCCACTGAGCCAAACCATCTCGGGCGCTAGGTCATCTTTAAATGACTACCCACCTGGTATGTTAAACCAAACAAATAATAAACTATTTTAAAACAATGCTCATGCCATCTGAATGCAACAATTACTAATTTTTTTTAATTATTTTATTGACTCTGATAGGAAGGGAAATATAGTGGGAGAAACATCCATGATGAAAGAGAATCAGGGATTGCCTGCATCCCACACGCCCCCTACTGGCTATGAGCACGAAACCCGGGCATGTGCCCTTGACCAGGAATCGAACCATGACCTCCTGGTTGACAGGTCGATGCTAAACCACTGAGCCACGCCGACTGGGCCAGAAGCGCAATAATTTGAATATGAGAAACGCAACTTGGAAAAATGTCCCTCACGCTCCCCAGTCCTCATCCTTAAAGGTGTCAATTTGCATTTGCAAACACTTTCCTGCAAGAGGAGAATTTAATCAGCAGTCAGTGATCTTTTTAATGCAACCATGGATGCCCTGAAATTGATTTCTGGAGCTCCCCCCGGCTTCCTCTCCACCCGCCTATCTCTGGTGCGATGGTACTTTAATTTTATAATTGCTGCGCTTTGTTTGGGGCTGTTTAGTGCTAAACACAATTAAAAACCCAAATGCATCCAAAGCTAGATGCTTAAGTGACACACAGAGCCGGTTCGAGCCTTCAGGAGATGAGGCCTGGCATCCTCGAAATTCCTGACTGGAAAGAGATAATCAGCATAAAACACCCGTAATCCCCCAAACATTCATGGTTTTTTTTTTGGAGAGGGTAGTATCTGTTGACGAACCTCAGGAGTTCAAACAATGAGA